AGGAGATTGATTGATGTTCCAACACGAAGAATGCCTTTGCATTACCCATTTCATTAAATGCCCCTCAATTATCTTCTGCATCTTTACAATGCTGCTTCCACGGGTGCGCATAAACTGGCCAGGACACTCATGGATATAAAATAGAGGAAAGAAAAAACTGCAGGGTAATAGTGGACAAATTGGATAGCTCAGTCATTCTTTAGAATTAATTCTAATACTTACTCATTTTGAGAGCAAATGATGGAGAAGGTGTGCAAGATTGGGGAGATGAAAGAAAGTATTCAGTTCAAAGGCGGAAGATATGAATAATTGCTCATTTAGGAAGAAAGTGGATGCCAATTTGAACAAATGAAAGAAAAATAGAGTGCCAAGTCGGCTTCTTTCTTGTGAGGGCCCATCTTTGTACTTCCATCTGCTTAATGAAACCTGGTCTTTTTTTATAAAAAAAAAAAATTAAAGATAAATAAAATAAAAGCACACACACAAAAAACAAGAAAGCTTTTCTACCGAAAGGGAGAAGAGCAATTCTAAATCAACCTGCGTTGACTAACATGCCTACTTACAATTAGGTAGGTCTTGTTTTCATAATTGCTAATCAGATAGCCAAATCCTTAGAGAACACCATGAGAAACTTTAATGTGCGAAGGCATTTATGAGGAAGGAGGTGACTATTGGGTGAAGTGAGACACAGCTGTTAAAGCAAAGCAGATTGGAGGTTGAAAATATACAATAAAGGTTAGAGAATTAGCATGTGTCAGAATGGTTAAAGGAGATGTTCCTTGTGGCACACAGACTTTTTGAGTAGTTGTTAGGCAAAGGTAAAATCACTACATCCACCTTAGTATCTGCCATCTTCTATGAAAGATGCAAGAAAGAAATAGGAGGTCTTCAAAAGATAAAGAGATGGTGTTGAGGAAATATGAAATAGAATTCTAATTGCATCTCCCAGATCTTCAAAGAGACTTTGTTATTACCCCTATTTTTTCTTTTTTTAATCAAGACAAACTGAGAGCTTTTTCAATCTCCACAAGTTCATTCCAATAGTCCCCCACCAACTCTTTCATAACTTTCTTTGTTAGCAGACGTGGTTGGTATAATTATTAGTCAGGGAGCAAACATAGATGTATGAACAGTTAACTGAGAAAATTATACCTCTGGAACTCCAACCAAATATTTCACAAGGGTTTTGTAGACACCTGTTGCAGAACCCAGCTGTGCTAACTGTCTCCTCCTGAAATGGTAATCAATAACTACAGCGTACAGCCAATATTATGAACCGACCTACAACCTCACACAGAATGAAGTTAAATCAAACAAAGCAAACCTTTCCATCTGTTGCTTCCATAAGAGAACATATCGATCACGTATACTTCCTCCAGAATTAATCAGAGCATCAACCTCTGCTTGCTTATTCCTCTCTGATCGCTCTCTTTGCTGTCTAATTATTGTTCCTCGAAAATCTTGAGGCATGTAGGTCATAACTGCAAATATACTTTTCTTTATAAGGAAGCAATAGATTGTATTAATCTTTTGATAAAATACAATACGGGAAATTATTCTTAAAAAAAAAGGTGGAAGTGTAAGAAAGTATGAGAAACAGAAATCAACACAACTGTGCTTCAGGTAGTGATTGAAATAAATGGATATCTCCAAGCATATGGAAAACGGGTAAAATTTTAAAATCCCAAGAGGTGAAGGCTACGGCAGTAGATTGGTTGAGCCAACTAATTGCCTATAGACAACATTTGGAAACCTCCACAAACCACCTTGATCATAATTCTTAAAGACAATAGTAAAGACAGACAAAAATCCAAAACAACCCCCAAACAGCCACTCTAACAGAGAAATCTTTTCTTCTTTCTTAGAAGGTTTTACACCAATGGTTGGAGAAGATTCTAGGCTATCAAAGGCTAGAAACGAGGGAACTTTCTCATGTAGATCCATGTTGAACATGATCTTTGGCAGTCATACGCACATAATGATGATCAGTTGTTCAAGAAGCAGAAAACTTAAAGGTGGAAAACACGGTAGGATCTTTCTTTTTATACGAAAGAAGAAAATAATACGACTAGAACGTACGTTAAAGGACCAAGGAGTTACAAAAAGAATCTCCAATTGATCGTCAAAATAGAAAGCTAATAATAACGTAACAATTAGATTTAAGACACCGAAAGAAGGATTGATAGACAATAACATACCATATTTGATCTACGGTCTTCCCCTATTATTGAAAAGTTCTTCTATTATGCTCCAACCAGAGTTCCGAAGGAAGGCACAGATGCATTCGTCTAGAAAAGCTTCTAGTTATTTTTCAACCTCTGATCAGTCAAACATTGAATCATAAAGTCTCAATTCTTAAGGATGTCTAGGGAAAGCCCATGGAAAGTTCAAGACATCCAACAACTTGGACCATGAGGCCACCACAAAGAAGCATGATCTAAATAGATGGGCTACATTTTCCTGAGTGCTTCCATAAAGGCAGGACCAATTTTCCTGTTGGCAAGAATAAGATGGATTTCCAATTTGAAATTTACCAATGGTATTAAGATATCCAAGAGCTAGCGACCATAAGAAAACTTTACACTTCTTAAGCACCCTGAGACTCCAAAGACATTTACAAATGGGTAACAGGATTGGTTCCCCTTCAGTTAAACAAGAAAAGAGAAATTTTACAATGAAATAGCCACTGTCCCTTCAGGAACATCCGACCATGAAATAGCCACTACCTTCCAGCTTCCAAACTCCATGATCTCTCCCATTATAATATTGTTGAGTTTCCTGCTCTAAGGACCTCTAATAAGACTTTCCCACTGTACCCTAAAAGAATTTTCAGCTAACATCCAAGCATTCCAAACATCCTTAGCCATCAGCTCCTATTCTGACAAAAAAAAAAGGTCGAATTTATAGGAAAAGTTTTTTGGACACTATCCAATTATGGAATCTTAATTGTATTCTTTCTTGTAGTTGATCCGCACCATGGCATAAGGGCAGGGAGTCTCAAAATCACCTTTTCAGGTGATGTGAAGGTATTCTTATGGTCTTTGGCTCACAGAAGTTTGAACACTCATGACTTTCTACAAAAGAAATGTATTCAGTGGGTTCTCTCACCTTGCGGAAGTCGGAGCTTTGCTCCCCTGTATCTAGGAACACCCGCGCCCGCCCCAAAGTCCAGACCCGAGAGACATCAAGGATTTTTGGTATTAAGCTCATCAGAATGTTAGAACTTGAGACCTCCAAACCAGTATGACCAAGAGACCTCATAACCTTGCCAATCAGGCTACTTTTTTATTTATCTGTTTGCTGCCCAAAGCAAATTGATAACTGGTAGATGGAAGTCCTTGGGGTTTGGAATCTTCCTTTAAGAGCTAAGCTTCTCTTGAACTGTGTAGCTAGAGCTCTCATTTGGCAGCCTCAGTTAGAAAGGAATCTTCATGATAAGGCTTTACTTTTGGATTTTTTTTTTTTTTGTAGGAATGTACGGGTCACTTCCTCCTGGCGGTGTCTTAATAATAGTAAATTATTTTATAATTACAGTCTTTCCATGTTTGCGAACAATTGGAAAACCAATATTATATATTCAAACAAACTAATTTAAAAAAATCGACCCTTCTTTAGTTTTGGTGCGTGGGGTTCCCTCTACCCAGCCCTTAGGCTGTTCTTTCTCCCTTTTTCTAATCCATCCAGGTTTCCTATCCCTCCCACCCACAACAACAACAACATCAACAACAAAAAAAAAAAAAAAACTACATACATGTTGAAACATAACTTTTGTAGTCTTTCGTCTTGGAGTACTCCTAGGAACAAATCATCTCCTTCAATTGTTGTTTGGATATGGCTTTTTTATAAATATTAAAGTTTTTCTGGATTAAGCAAAGATGACATTTTTTTAAGGTGCCTTGCCTTCAGTTAGAAAGAAACGCCCAATTTTTGGGAATCTCAAGGATAATTGGGGCTATAGTTTTCTTTTTGGCTTCTAGCAGTAATCCCTTCAAAAAAAAGTTCTCTAACTTCTTCCCATTTTTCATTCAAACAAATTGGATAGCCTTTTCCCCATCTCCTTTAGTTGTGGTTACAATGCCCTTATTCTCCTCCTCTTGTATGTTTGTTTCTTTTAATGCAACAGTTCCTTGTTGGCCAGAACAAAAATAGAAATCAAATAATCTTCAACAAAACTACATTGTTCCATAACATATCAAAAAATCAACCAAGTTGACAGGTGAAAATAATTACACAATATGAACTTTCAAAAGAACCTCCTCTTCAAGAATAATGAATGACGTGTGAATTGTAACCTGTGTTGAACACATTCTCAGAATTTTTAGCTTGGAAAACTGCCAACATGTTTAAGGAATTCCGGAATTTTTCTTCTAGCTTTCCTAGAATAATATCAAGTTCGGATTCACCAGTTGCAGACTGCTGCTGAACCTGCAGTTTAAATATGTAAATAAGTTTGGCTCCACTTCTAAAATTATTCATTGAAAAACAGCTCAATATTACCCGACACCAATACATCCTTTTTTTTTTCTTTGAAGAGAAACAAATTTTTCATTGATATTTTTAAAGTACATAAGTAAATAAAACACAAAAAGCTCCCATTTAGGAGATTACAAACAGAATTCCAAGAACAAGGTATTTTATGAATAACATACGTGTATTCCTAAACTGGATTGGCCCGTAAATCTTACCTCTTGAGGCCAATGAGATTTTTCAAGCAGAAGCAAAATTTCCTCCACATTTTCCCGATTCTTCCACATATTCTCATCAATTTTATGAGGAGGATGACGTTTTGCTTCATCAAGTAGGGTGCTTTCCTCTGGAATGAAGATGATCCCCACAATAAAAGCACCCAATATCAGTAATCAAAGGTTCAAATGAAGTGATAAACAGCTAGTGCGAGAAAGCACAATTCAGAGCACAACAATAGGTGTTTCAGTGAACCATCATCCAATATGATACAATTTCAAAGGGTAAACAAGAAAGTGAGAACAATAGAATTGATCTTAAAATAGATCAAGACGTTATTTTGTATTTCACCAACTCGTGCGACATGCTTAAAATGTGCATAACGAGAAAATATCAAATTCCAGCTTTTTTTTTTCATTTCGTTTCTTCTAATAGTTTATTAGAAACATAATTTTCAAGTATTAAATCACGATAGCCCCAACTTAATTTAGAAGAACTTGAATGGTGGAGATCCTGAGATGAACAAATAATCAAATATTAAGATAAACACCTAAAAACGAAAACAAACTTCCAAATCGCACTCCAGGAACAACATATCAGTAGAGATCTAAAAGAAAACAAGCTCATCTTCGAATTGACAGCAACAAGCGAGATCATGCCCCTACCTAACTACAAACGAAAACGCATTAAGGTAAAAGTCAAAGGCGAAACCTGAAGTAGGCGGGAGTTCATCGAGCAAACTGTTCGCCATGGCGAGCATCTCAGTGGAAAGGCGAGAGACGTCATCCGAGAGAGGCGTAAATGTATACTTATCGTAATACGAAGCTAGGAAATGCCTGGTTATAGGCACCAGACCCTCCATGGAAGCCATTTCCGCCTTAGTTACCTTGGTTCTCTTCTCCGAATTGAAATCTTTCAGTTGTCGTCTCCACTGTGAAACTTCCTCCTCCGATCGAGTAATCGTTCGCGCAAAAATAGCAAACTGAAACACTTCCACCGTGAATAAGGTCTCTGGATTTTCTTCTGGTAGCCTTTGATTGT